GACGCATAAAGATTCCAAATTCAGCTGTTATGTCACCCATATTTATGCGTCAGAGTTCGCTGAGCGGTAGTATGCCAACTCGAGAATTAGCCGAAAAACAGTAGCAATAATTTTATGAAGATATTTGCCGTCCATGTTGAGACTCTTTACCTAAATTCAGTACTGAATTAGGCTGCGCTGTGCGTGAGGGTACGTTGAATGTATTTTCAGCGAAGAGGCTGGTTCAGGGAGCATATAGACTAGAAAGGTGAAATTTCATAAGGATATTCTATGTCTGCGTGCAACCTAAAGATTTTAAATTCAGCCTGAAAGCACTCCTAGTTCTCGCATGCGCAGTAAAACTTCAGTTGTAAGCTATTTTTAGCATTTACTTCTGTAACCAGAGTAGGTAGGAAGCCGCAGTTTTGTGAGGATAATAAAGATATTAGTGATGGCGCATATAAAAATATTCAGATGAGCAGGAATATTTCGGTCCGTTAAGTTGTGTAGATTCCTATTCTGCGCCTCGACAGTGGGGCAGTTGAGGTGTAGATAAGTGCGTAAGAGATAGTGTAAAATGAATGTGCATAAATTTACGTGGATAACTTATTTCTCAAATGTCAGAAGATTGTGACAGTTGTAACGAATAAAAAAAAAAAAGGATGGGAGAAATGAAATCCATCTGTGAGCTGATAAACATAAAATGGACGTCGGCTTATTCGCATGCCTCATGCACAAACGTGTCAAATGTTTAGTTTTCAGTGTTTTCGTTATGTTTTCCTCCCAGTAATCAAGAAGGAAGCAGAAATTTTACCAGAATGCCGGAGTGTTTTGTTCGGCGACAAATCAGGTAGGGAGAACTTGTGGGTGCACGCATCTCATGCTAATCGTATTTGAAACGACCAACGTGAGCATCCCCCATATGTGCGTTCACTTGCCAAACTGTAACGGGTAACGGTCTGCTTGCTTCAAGAACATGCAGAAAGGGGAAGGTCGCAGCAGCAGCAGCAGTCCTGGTGCGTGTTCTTTGCTGGCTTGTTGCCGAAACGGGCCTTAGGTCCAGGATGGCAGGTGTCGCTTTCAAGGAGTGCTGCTGCTGCTGCTGCTGCTGCTGCTTTGATGCCTGCTCCCTCATCGGAATTGGGCTGAGCCAGAATGAAACAGCATGGGTGTGTTTCAGGCAAAAGAAATCCTGCAGAAGGAGTCGAATGTTCAGGAGGTTAAATGTCCGGTGACGGTATGCGGTGATGTGCACGGTCAATTTCACGATCTTATGGAACTTTTCAAGATGGGTGGGAAGTCTCCTGATACCAACTATCTGTTCATGGGCGACTACGTTGATAGAGGCTATTACTCCGTTGAGACTGTTTCGCTTCTAGTTTGTTTGAAGGTCTCTTCCGTTTTTATTATAATTTCCGCAAGAGCTGTAAAGAATTAGTAGCCAGAACCAGAGGTCTGGTAACAGAGGCTGTGAAGAGTTGATTTTTGTTATTGCTACTTGAATTTAATAGCAGGGCATTTATTTAGGTTAGGTACAAGGAGCGTGTTACGATTTTGCGCGGGAATCACGAATCTCGACAGATCACGCAGGTTAGTAATGTGATATTAACCTCAAACTGATTACTTGTGCATGCTGTGATTGATTTGCACAGCGGTTTTGGACTGGCGCATTTCGGCCCTATGGTGTCTTCATCTTTTCACCTCCTTTTAGTAGGAGGACTTCGTCAGTAAGTACCGTTTGAGGGCCCAGATCGAGTTGCAGTGTCCATAATGGGTAATCCATTCTCTTTAAAGGTTTACGGGTTTTACGATGAATGTCTTCGCAAATACGGCAACTCTAATGTTTGGAAATATTTCACTGATTTATTCGACTACTTTCCACTAACGGCACTTGTGGACGGGCAGATTTTTTGCTTACACGGCGGTCTTTCGCCGTCCATTGATAGCCTCGATCATATTCGCGCTTTGGATCGATTACAGGAAGTCCCCCACGAAGGTATCGATTGTTTCCCACTTATAATCGCTGATTTCCCTGTTTATCAAATTTGTGCTTTAGCGATCTGCTGGTGATAACAATAAAAATTATTAAATTCACTGCACTGACAATGAAAACTACATATTGGTAGGGCTTCTGCTAATGTGTTGGTACTCCAAGTGAGGGAAAGAACAGAGAAATGTGAGATAGGTGATTTAGCCGTTCAGTGGGCTCATCAGCGCGCCGGTAATAATTTTTTTGGTGTCCCATTTGAAGTGGCACATTGTTTTTGTTGAAATTTAGCGTTGCTGGCCGCAGTGAATAGAGGAATTGATTTGCATCAAGTTTGGTTGCGTATTAATTTTTTCTTCAGTTTTGCACTTTTTTGATAAATTTTGCTCTCCGCAGGCAGGTAAATTTCCCATGCTCGTAGCTGAATATGGCGTGGCCCAGCCAGTTTGTCGCAGCCCGTTTCACCTAGTGCCCTTTAAAAGCAAAAGAAGTCAGCTGTTACAGCGCATCATCATCAGGCTTGAGGACGATTTCAGGTCCGATGTGCGATCTGCTTTGGTCGGATCCAGACGACCGCGGTGGTTGGGGTATCTCTCCTCGTGGAGCGGGCTATACATTTGGACAGGACATCTCAGAAACATTTAATCACTCAAACGGTCTCACACTCATCTCAAGGGCCCACCAACTTGTTATGGAAGTAAGCATCGGACTTGCTTTAATTGAGTACTTCGTTTTTCTTGCCCTTAATTCGTGCATTCAAATAAAATCACAAAATTATAAAGTGCAGATGTCTGAACATCTTCGGTCAAATCCCCATTCGGAAAGCCTCAGAGTCGGCTGTGGCTTGAAAGTCTAGTTTTCAGAAAAATCCGTTTTCCTCCAGTCTTTTGTTTTCTTTTTTTTCCCCAGCCTTCATGTTTGGTTTTCCTCCAACACTGTCAAAAACAAATCACGCATTATTCTTGAACAGCTTCATCGAGTGGGGACGGCTGAAGTAATTATCGATAATCACTTTTGTTTTGTAACAGCAAATTTCGCTAGCATCTCTTACCTGCTGCTTTTGGTACTTCCCGTGACTTGTCGTTTCAAAAACAGCAGTCATTTTCCTCTTTTCTGGGCTTACCGAGAACCCGGGCTTTTGTTTGTACTCGTCACTTTTCGTTTTCCTTGCGGATGTGCGCAGAATTCGTGTTTATGTAGTTTCTATGTAGCAGCGACAGTTTTGTGTTTGCTGAGATTGTTAAAAAGGCCGAAATCTACCGTGTACCATTTTCTGTAATGCCTAAGTTCTGATGATCGGAGGCTTGTGGGGAATGTGTGGAGACGAACTTTTTTAGCCTGTCACAACATAGGGGTAGGTGCAGGATAGAAATGGGTTACAGGATTCGGCACGTTTCTTCAACAGGCTTACGGCGACGGGTAAGCCTCCGAATGAGCAGGAACTGCTAGTATTTTCAACAACAGCAACTTTGTTGATTTTTGTTAGGCTAATAATGGGTAGGGGCTGGATGCTGTTCGCAGTGAATGCTTCCTTAAGGCGTTTACCGGGTCTCAGTTGTTGTTATGGCTATTGTTATATTTTTTAGGGTTACAACTGGTGCCATGATCGCAACGTTGTGACAGTCTTCTCAGCTCCAAACTACT